TGGGGGGGGGCGGCCTCTCTCTCATTTCATTGGGGAGAGGGACTTGTAACTGAAACTGCTGCCTAACGGTCAGCTTTTCAAACGCTCCCGCGCGGCCTGCCATAAAAGCTAGGCGACGCCCTTCCCCCACTCGCGGGGGCGGGGCTGTTGGGGGGGAATGGGAAGCGCGCGACTGGGAAGGAGGAGACCTATTGGCTCACGTCCTCGGGGTTGACGCATTATCGCAGCTTCAAGTCGGTCCCTCCCTCCCTCCTCTTCTCTCGGCGCGAGTTGAGGCTGCAGAATCCTATTAGTCGATTCTTGATTAGGCCCCGCCTCTCCACCCTTTGCTTTACAGGAAGTCGATTGGCTCGCTGGGACGTCAGTTATTATCGCACTCCCACCCTCTCTTTTCCTCTTGCCTACGCGCGGCGGAGGTCGCGTCATCCGATTAGCCCTGGAGACGTCAATCACGCACGAAGCCCCTCCTTCTAGTGAGTGACACGTTCACGTCCGCTGTTGCGCCTTTCTATTGGCCCAGTGTGCGCTGAGGGCGGGTGCTACGGCGGCACGGCGGGCGGGGCTCCCAGCGTCCCCTTTGTGTGAGCACCAGTTGCCGGCCGAGCGCCTGAGGAGTAGCAGCCGCCATTTTGTGCGTGTCGGTGTGCTCCCCCACCCCCAGGCCGCTTTTCTGTGGAACCAGCGGCGGTCGGGTCGCTGGCGAGGCGAGCCCAGGCGAGGCCAAGGAGGAGCCGCGGCAGCTGCTGCTGTCTTGAAGTTGCGGCGCTCGTTGTACGTGGAGAGGCCCGCGCTGCCCCCCAGCAGGAGGAGGAGTCTCGGCGCCAGGCCCAGGCGCAGCCCCGGCGGCGGCGGCAGCATGGAGAATTCGCAGCTGTGCAAGCTGTTCATTGGCGGCCTCAACGTGCAGACCACGGAGGCCGGGCTGCGGGAGCACTTCGAGGCCTACGGCACCCTCACCGACTGCGTGGTGGTGCTCAACCCGCAGACCAAGCGCTCCCGATGCTTCGGTTTCGTCACCTACTCAGCCGTGGAGGAGGCCGACGCCGCCATGGCCGCCTCCCCCCACGCCGTGGACGGCAACGCGGTCGAGCTGAAGCGGGCCGTGTCCCGGGAGGACTCGGCTCGGCCGGGGGCCCACGCTAAGGTGAAGAAGCTCTTCGTGGGCGGCCTCAAGGGGGACGTGGGCGAGGGGGACCTGGTGCAGCACTTCAGCCAGTTCGGCCCCGTGGAGAAGGCCGAGATCATCGCCGACAAGCAGAGCGGCAAGAAGCGCGGCTTCGGCTTCGTCTATTTCCAGAACCACGACGCCGCCGACAAGGCCGCGGTGGTCAAGTTCCATCCGATCCAGGGCCACCGCGTGGAGGTCAAGAAGGCCGTGCCCAAAGAGGACATCCAGTCGGGAGGCGGAGGCGGCGTCGGGGCGGCAGGGGAGGAGGACGAGGACGGGGTGGCGGTGGATCCGGCAACCGGGACCACAACGGGCTCTCCAAAGGAGGCGGCGGCTATAATAGCTACGGAGGCTATGGTGGAGGCGGCGGCTACGGGTCTTACGGCAGCGGCTCCTACGGAGGAGGTGGTGGAGGCGGAGATTAGGGCAACGGGAACGGCGGGTTCGGCAGCTACAGCCAGCATCAGTCCTCTTACGGCCCCATGAAGAGCGGCGGCGGCGGAGGAGGAGGGGGCGGCAGCTGGGGAGGGCGCAGTAACAGTGGACCGTACAGAGGAGGCTATGGTGGGGGAGGGTATGGCGGCAGCTCCTTCTAACTGGGAGCGCCCATACCCATCGGGGGTGGCATGGAGAGCCCTCCCTTTGTTACGGGGCACCTTCTAATGGTTTCTCCGCTCACTCGCCTAAGGGCAGTTCTTAGTAAATGCCTCCCTTGCTGTGGGAGCAGCTCCTAAATGCCCTCTGGGGGTGCTCTGCCTGTGCCACTTCTTTCTCTCTGAAGATGGACTGGGCCCCACACACACATACTTTGTGTTACAGTCATTGATGGACTCTATTTTTTTATTATTACTTGGACCTTGGTCGTTTTTATACTAGCAATGAAAATGTCTTGTTTTAATTTTGTTTTTGGGGTGGGGGGTGGGAAATGTCTTGCTGATTCTGAAGTAAAAACGGGGGAGGAAGATGGGGGGGAATTTACTTTGTTGTAAGGACTCGATACCTGGCTACTACATTTTTTTTCCCCTACAAAATCTGCTTGGATCCCATGACTGAAATTAACATTTCTGTAAAGGAGGAAAAAAATCGTTTTTACGTTTTTTATTTTTTAAATAAATCATTGTGTTCATTGACCTTTACATGTCTAACTTTTTTCCTAGGATCCATTCCGTACGGTTTAAGGCTTTTCTGGGTTTGAAACAAGTATTGTTCCTCTGCTTTTAATTCTCTATGTATTTAGAGACTTTATTGCCAGTAAAGGTCCTAATTTACTATTTTTGCTGTCCCATTAGTGGATTTATTGGTTTTCAAACACTTTATGGACAAATTTTTGAAGTACTAATTGGTGGATGTGGTATGTTTTTTAAATATTCATTCTCACTTTTGCAGTTTGTGTGCATCCACCATCTTGTACTAGGCAGTTTGATTGACGTGCTGACATGGTTGGTCAATTTTTTCTATAGGACTTTTCCATCAACGTATGTACTGTGTAGTTCTAAAGAAATAGTTTGTGTTAAGCATGTGCTTCATTCATATAAAATGTTCAAAATTTCCAATTGCTTAGTTTCAGATCCTCTTATTGGCTTGTCTGTAAATGATTCGCTACAGGAAAGGGTCAACATTTATTCCTTCAATTAAATGCCTACTTGTTTTCATAGTACCAGGTTAAAACAGACTCTTCACTTGATCTGAACTATTGTCCTTCGTTAAAGTTCCCGAGTATCCTTTGCAGCACCATCTACTGGCAGAATGGCAGAACTGCTGCTGTAGGCTTCGTTACAACAGAGGCAAAATTGTTTGCTAACAACTCTACTAGATTTTTTTGAAAGGTGTCATATGCCATTAAATGATTGGCGTAGACTGAAATAAAAATCAAATCTGCATGTGACTAAAGATGGGCTCCCTGCATACTGACTGAAACAAAATGGATTTGAAATATCTGCTTCAGTACATTTCTAAAACTTACAACTGCCCATCCTTCAAAAGAAGTGATAATCTAAACTGTTTGGGCAAAGTGCTATGATGAATGAGCCAGCTAAGTGTACCGGTAACATAGGTGCCAGTTGTAAAGCAAAATATCTGTGTAGTCTGCTTGATTAACAAATGTATATTTGTAGCCCTTTCACGCAATAGAATTAAAGTTTGTTGTTTATTTGGAAAAAAAAAAAGCATAATGTTATAGGGGAAATCTGCCTTCCTGGATAGAAATATAGAATAGCATCGTTTATGGGTTTATGGATATCACAAATAAAGAATTGAATTCCTTACATGCTTGAGTGAGAGTATGTATGACATGGGGTATGGATTAAAAAAAAATTGTAAAGTCACTTTGGTTCCAGGTTTCTAAGCATTTAATGTTTAACCTTTAACCATATTGTTTTCTCACTGCATTCCATGGGTTTGATCCTACTTCCATTATAGCTAATGGCAAAATTACCATTGTCTTAAATGGAAGTAGTATAGCGCACTACAAATCCATGAACTCCACCCATTTTGATGTGTAACTTTCAAATCATTGTTTTAAAAAAATCAGTGACTCCGTGGACACTGATTTCAGTTGGAGTTATGCTAAATCAAAATAAGATCAGTTGATGAGTTACAATAAGCCTGATTTCAAATAAAATTGGCATTCTATCTTCAATTGGACTAGATTAATTTAAAACTTTTTTTAAGACAAACTAAATTAAAGGTCTGGAGTGGAACTGACTCCTCAAAATGAGGCCTTTCTTGGCCTTGTGATCAGTAACTAAACTTAAAGAAAGTTTCACAGTGTTTGAACTTTTTAGACTTTTATGCTTTACAAAATAGGTGTTAAGTCATCTAGCTTGCAATTAAAATGCACATTTGACCCCAGAAATTCATAACTGTCCTGAACCAGCCTAAGTAGTTTAGAAAGTGCAGAAGTGAAGTGTAAATTTGGTATCTTGCAATAGCTTGCTAATCATTACATTGAATTAGCTTTGCCAATTGTCCTTTTCAACAAAAACATTTGATTTGGTTTTATTGATCTTTTAACTTAAAAGGCTTCTATTACCTCCTCCTACACTTGAGAAACATGCTGAAGTTAGAGCAAAGGGCCACCCAAAAAAATGCAGTTGTCCCAGTGTGGTTCAAAAAAGCATTGAATTCCATTTTGATTTGGGGAGACAGTTTAAATCAGGTTCAATTCTGTCCTTTGCAAAGTTTGCTTTGTTTAAGCATTGCAGGGAAGAACCTTGTTTTGGGAGATGCATTTAAAACTGTTTTTGTACTCTAGAGTGGTCCTCTGATTGTTAGGCAAATGCTTTGCAGAGACAGTTCTGTAACTTTACAATATGCCTACCATATCTTGTGTGTCAAGTGACTTGTACTAAAAAGAAATGGTATATTGAAAAATTACTATTTGATTATAGGCAAGGCGAACCGGCTCTCCCCTCCCCCCCCGGAAAGCACCTATATTATGAGGGAGATATGAAGGAATTATCATCAATTCTTACAACTTATTTCATAACTTTTTGTAAGAATTGTTCTGTGGAGAATCAAATAGTTCCTCTATTGATGGGACTGCTTCTCAAGAGAACAAACACTTGCAAAGAACCTATCTTCAGAGGTTCAGGTAAATTGGACTCTTAATAGTATAGCTTTCCAGTGAACCCTATTGGATTGAAAGATTGGTCAAAGCATGTTGTGTATTAGAAGGACCCCATTTTAAATCACACACGTGTGTTAAAATATTTCACCTGCTACTGATACAAGTAACTCATAAGGGTTAATTGGGGAACAAATTTTTACTTTGTTTATTTGGTGTATTTGATTACACTTCCTCTGTAGTTGGTCTTTGTTTCTCTTATGTGGGTAAAACTACCCAGGGAATTTAAAGGAACAGTAAGATGAGCTAACAGAAGATGTGATGTTAGTTTTAAACAATAGTCTCATTAAGCAAAGTTTAATATGAGTGTTTAATGAAATTCAGAATTTCAGATTTTATGGTTTAAACCTTTTTGTTGGTTACAAATAGACAACATTGTATTAGGCTTGCGTGTGAGAAAATGAAACCAATAGTCTGCTTTTCAAACAAAGTACCAAAAGTAGAAGGGATATTTTATAATCTAAGCAATTGGGAAGGTATTTCTATAAACTGGGTTGCTTTAACTTGTACCTCAAAGGGATTTTTCATTTGTTGAATATCAACATTTTCTAGTTAATAGCACTTGATCCATTAGCTTAAACATTTCAGTGATTTATTAGTTCTCACTTAAAACCCAGTGCATAAAACCTTTAGTGACAACTTATGCATTTATAACCCCCCCTGCCAAACAGCTTGCCTATTTAATATATCATCTCTACAAATAAGCCATTTATTTTCTCTTGTATGTAAGGCAGTTTACATCACAGATTTTTTTTTAAATAACTCACATGGGTGATGCACCTCTCCGATTTATTTTAAAAATTTTGTAGCTCACTGATCTGTATTAGATTCAGACACAAGTACACATTTTTAAAATGGAACCTTGTCCTGCTTCTCCCCCAACTGTTTGGTTTCTTTAATTGGACAAGGCTTGTGTGCATGGTAGGGTGTTGAATAAAAGGTTTCAGTGCACACAACAGTCATTGTGAAGCATTTTAGGTTTGTTCTGTTTCTCTAATACTGTCCTAAATAATTTCAGCTGCAGCGTTCTAAGTATCTCAGTGGCCAACTCTGCTTCCAAAAAAAGTATGTTCTGGGAAGTGTCAAAAGGCCACCAATATGCACTGTGAAACAGTATTAAAATGACTAGCTGAAACAGTTAAGCTAATCCGCCTTCACTGGCACTGAGGCCAAAATGATATTTAATCCTTCTGAAACAGTCCATTCCAAATCGTATTACCTTTACCCTCACCCTTTATTTTGTGTACCACTGTGTGGATGCATGGTGTTTTTATAATCACTAGGTCTTAGTACTTTTTTTTGTGTGTAGCCTTAGATGAGTGCACTGATTGATCATCCCTGTCTTTGCAACTGTCAGTACCATCATGTAATTACATTTCTGTTGGGCTATGACTACACTGGCACATTCTCACGCAAAAACTTTT